CTCTGTGTCTGGATTTATTTTTTAATAGGAGTTTTGTAGCACTTCGAACTCTGTGACTGAGTTCTAGAAGAAAAAAATTGGCTGGTGATACTGATTCTGTATCAGTTACTTCCATTTATCTTGAAACAGAAGAGGTGTTGCTTCCTCTTTCTGGTGGTCGGTTCTCCAAGACCCATAGTAACTTTTTTAACCTGGTAATACTGTTGATAAGAGCTTTAGAATGTGTTTGTTTATAAATTGTGTTTACTGTGACCTCCCTGCTGTAGGGCTTTACAGAACACCGCTGGTTCCCAGACTGTGGTCTGCTCAAGGCCATGCAAAAGAGAACAGAGCTGGCTTTACTCAACACTGAATTATGTCTCTAACAAATGCCTGGTTTTAATTTGCTGTTGTTTTTTTTTTTTTCTTTTGGCTTGTGGATAGTTAATGATTTACCAGTTTTTGACTAGCTTCAGCCAGCATCTCTTGTTACAGCAATGTGGAATTTAGAATTGGAGCCATGGTAAAATCTGTCCCTGAAGTGGTATTAGGACTGGTAACTTTTGTGGATCAGATATAAGAGCCTTGAGTATTACAGCTGTAAAATACTTGGGATATAAGACACTTGAGTTTAGAAACTTAAGCAAGAGAGGGTTTCACCTATGCTGGCCAAACCTTGGACAGCTAGTTGAGAAGCAGCTGAGGTCCCTAGTTATTCAACACTGCCAGTGACAGAGGATAAAATCAGATGGACTAAACAGCTAGAGGAAGGAAACAGAAACTCCATGTCTACAGAAACTGAGGTCTTTCAGAGTTGGATATTGTCAAATATTTCATACCTGCTCTGTATCTGTTTATTACAACAGCTGGTGGCCATGGGTTTTCATCATTTAATGGGAGTGACTTGGGCTGGGCAGAGCTCCCTTTCTGACAGATTTGTTTGCCAGTACTAATTTTCTACTTAATTATGGTTGTTACTGTGTACTGGGATGTTTTTGGGGGTGTGACTCTGCAGAGGTAGATCTGTATGTTTACTTTAGCTTCAATTGCTGTTAAATGCGCAGAAAGCTTGGAAATGGCTCAGAAATGTCCCTGAATAAAAACAGTTGCTCTGAGCTGTGCAGTAATACTGGGTTTTTTTAGTTCCAATGTAAAAAAAAAAAAAAAGCTGCTACTTCTCCTCCAAATGCATTTGAACATGTTGATGCTGACCTCTGCAGCCCTGTGTAGTTAGTTTGCCCAAATTGCTGCATTTACTCATAGCAGTCTTGGTTGATTAACCTGGCAGTGGAAATCCAGTGGGATGCTTGCTTTGATTGTGTCTGCATTTCTGTATCTTGTATGCAATTAACATCCATATTGGAGGATTCTAGACCTGGGAATTCACTTTCTCATTTAGTGAAGAATTTGAGTTGCGTGAGTGCGTGCTGTAGGGTTGCTCTTGCCTAGACAGTTTGCGAGAATTTCTTTGGTGTTGCACCCAGGAGACCACACGTGTATAAATGATATAATATTTCAGGTTTTGGTATAGGTCATTTAGAATGAACTCTATAAACATGTCAGTACAGTAATCTCGCCTTTAGATGGTTGCTATTTGCTTGTAGATCTGACACTGTCCAGTAGAAAAGTCATTTTTCTATTACGACCTGCAGAGCTGATCTTGGGACTCCGTGGTGTGGATCCCAGATGTGGGTGTAAAGAGGATCTTTTCTCTTCCTCTGGTAAAGCTGGACAGCCATTGAGAAGGCATCACCAGTGCTTCCTGCCTTTCTCCCTTTCCTTCAAACCTTTGTGTAGAAGCCCGGAAGGAGTAGAGAACCACAAGTATATAAATAGTTTAGAGTCTGTGTTTTGTTCTCTGACGTTAAAACAAGAAAAAAAATCACTGCACCCCTTCTTCCCTGCTGTTTAAGTGCAGCCTGGAACCTAACATCTGCAATAATAGTTTTGTATCAATTTATATGGATTTTTTTGCTAGAAACATAAAATTCAGGATGTGGACATCTTTGTGTCTTGGAACACCTGTAAGAAAGGGAGTTTTCTGCACCCTTATTTGCTGCATGAAGACAGAGATGGATTGATAGAAAGAGAACACATTCTGGAGAAAAATCCTGAAGGAATTAAAAAAAAGTAGTGTGAGTTTTGTTTTTAAAATAACAGGAAATTGTAGAAAGATGATGGAGTTGGCTTGATGTAAACATATCTGAGATTCCTTATTGCTGAATTGCACTGTAAACACCTTTGCTGAAATTACATGAAACAGATGTGATATTGACACTCTCCTTGTTCTGTTTCCTAGATCCAGTAACACCTTTTTTCCTACTTCTAAAAGTTGCTAAGGTTTCTCTTGAGTTGGACATACCACTGGTAAGTGCACTGGATCCGTCTTAGTTAAGACAATATATGTTTTGTTACCATCTTAATCAGGGATCTGTAACTGAAGCTGTAATTACAGCTATAAAGCTAGCAGTATTTACAAGGTGAGACGAGTTTCCCCTGATGAGGGGGTCAGGGATATCCTACCTACAAATTAACTTGTCTTTGACACACTGTAATGGGAAAATGAGTTATTTTCTGTGTCTTTCCCTTCCTACTCCAAGAGAAACACTAAAGACACTTTTTTTTTTTTTTTTAACAAAAAAAAAAAAAAAGGCAAACAGACAACACCAAACCAAATGCCATCACCAACCACAAGAAAAAACAAAACAACCCCAAACCAAACAAACCCCAAAAAACAACAACCAAAAAACCACCCTTGGTGTATCTACCAGGAATGGCCAGCAAAAGCAAGGTATGCAGGGTGGCCTAAACACACCTGGAAACTATAGGATGAACTACAGACTAAAGTTTTCTGTCCATGTAACTGGTACAGCAGAAGTAATAGAAAATACAAATCTTCCTATGCTGTCCTAAGTCCTGCCTGCATAGTCCTTGCCATAACTATACTTTGATATACTATAGCTTTTTTCTTCCATCCTCTTTTACTGAAAAATATGGGTGAACCTCACATCACTTCTTGCCCACCCTGCATTAACTCTGCCCAGATTTTCATCATCTACTATTGGAAATGAATTTGCAGAAATAGTGTGTTTCTGAAAATGGTCAATCTTGTGGTTATTCCAGCTGCTTCTGGTAGAGCTCTGTCTCACAGTGTGCCCTGCCTGCATGGAAGTCTTATCCAGGCAAAAGCAAACTCTTTATGGAAGTGCAGAAGTATCAGGCTTGAGGAGAACAAAATTTGGTGCTCTGTTAGGTTTAAGCTCATTTGTTATCTTTCCATTTCCTTGCAAGTTGACCTTACTGAAGGTGAGGCTAAGCGTAATATTAAACCAATTATGATGGAAATAAGTCTTGGGTCCCCTTACATGGGGAGTATCCTATTAGTGACTCGATCTCCGCAAAGGTTACTGCCATGAGAACATAGCTTGCCCATCAGCTATTCTTAGCAAAAATATAATGCCATCTTTTTGATTAATAAGGTGCATTTTTAGCATAAATGTGGTTGTCGTTATTTCTTTAAAGCAGTACTTCTTTAATCAGCAGTTAAATGTTACCCACATACCATTGTAATCCTTCAGGGTTAGATGGCATGAAAAGTAAATCAATGCCTAATGCCTTCTTAGGGAACAAATTAGGCTTTATTTATTTGTCTATAAATCAATAAAATGCTGGCTAGCTATATAGCTTGATAATGCTTGTAGTCTGCTTCCAGTATACATGGAAATTCCTTATCTGAAAAGTTCCTTGGGCATTTGAAGTTTGCAGGTGGAGAAGGGTAAGTAAGGAATCAGATCCTGTTTCCTCTTTGGTTGCAACCATGTCTGTAACCTTTCTGAGTTAGAGATTTTCAGTTATTTGTCTATGCATTAGGTAGAACTTCTGGTACCTAAAGAATTGTTTTGTGGCTTTAGAGAAATAAGCACAGTGCAGTGTAATGATTTGGAAGAAATTTCAGTAGGAGTTTATGACTCAGTGGCGCTCAGTGAGACTTTTCAAAGTCTGCTGATTTTCAGTTACTGTAATTCTTAGTGTCCAGCTTCAAGTACACACTGGGGTGGATGTGCAGTGCCTGTTATGTATTAAGCCTCTTTAAAGTATCTCAAGCACCCAGAAATGGGATTAATGAGTCTGGTTTAGAATTCTTTTTTTTTTTTTTTTTTTAAAGACCTGTCATTGAGACTGTTTCCTGGGCTCTTGCAAGCAAGAGGCTATGCAAGGTACACGGACAATGGTTACATTGAAACGGAACCAGTATTCTTTAACACTTCCTCTGAAGAGGAAAATGTGAAAGCTGAAGAGCCATCTGCTTTCTGGAATTGTTCATGTGCTTGGACAGCTGGTTCTGAAAGGCAGAAGTAGTGTGGAAAAACTGTTAGTTGCTTTTAAAAAAATCAGAGTAAGTTGCTCAACAGCAACTTCTCTACAAGCCTGCAGCTCTCATCAACAACTTGGCCTATGTAAAATGTGGATAACTGCCTACGTATGCATTCCTTGTCCAGTCTAGTGATGCTGGTTTTAAGCAGTTCCCTTTCACTCGCGCAGCAGTGTGGTAGGACTGAGCACACGCTCTGATAGTACATCTGGACTAAACAGAGGGGGCTGCCAGTTGAGGAGGGGTGAAGTTCTTAAATCCCGCTCAGTCAGTGACTCACCTTCTCCACTCAGACTCTGTAAAATCCACACAGTGACACGAGGTGAAGGGATGTGTAGAACTGCATGTTAAAGTGCTCCTTTTGGATCTCGAACCCAGCGAATTTAGCATTCTTCCAGCTGAGCAATCATAACAATCTTGTGAAATAATCTGGGGTTTCATTACAGCGTGAGCTTGGTAGTGTTACCTCCACATAAGTGTGTAAGGCAAAGAAGGTGCCAGAGAGCTGCTGCCTATCAGCTACCACACAAGTTTATTAACTTGGCACAAGTCAACTATAGTCAGTCCTATGCCCATAAATTTACACCTACTGATTTTTATTTTTAAAATTTTTCTCTTTAATTACAGGAAGCAGCTTCTGTGGGCAAGAATGGGCTGCCGGGATGTTCACGCAGCAACAGTACTGGCCTTCCTCAGTGGAACAGCCTCAGTAGCTGGGCTCCTTGCAGCAGTTCTGCTTCCAAACTGGAGGCAAATGAGACTGTACACATTCAACAAGAATGAGAGGAATGTGACCATTTACACTGGACTCTGGATTAAGTGCGCTCGCTTCGATGGGAGCAGAGACTGTGTGATATATGACCCGCAGTGGTACACTGCTGTCGATCAGCTGGATTTGCGTGTTCTTCAGTTTGCCCTCCCGCTGAGTATGTTCACTGCAGTCTCAGCTCTGTTTCTCTGCTTGATTGGCATGTGCAACACAGCCTTTGTATCAAGTGTGCCAAACGTCAAGTTGGCCAAATGCCTTGTGAACAGCGCTGGCTGCCATCTCGTGGCTGGGCTCTTGTTCCTGCTTGCGTGTGCCATTTGTCTCACTCCGTCAGTCTGGGTCATTTTTTATAACAATTATCTGAACAGAAAATACGAGCCTGTCTTTAGCTTTGACATCTCTGTATTTATTGCCATTGCCAGTGCAGGTGGCCTGTTTTTCACTTCTGTTCTGCTGTTTCTGTGGTACTGCGCATGTAAAAGCCTGCCTTCTCCTTTCTGGCAGCCCCTCTATTCCCATGCCCCCAGCATGCACAGCTACGCCTCTCAGCCCTATTCTGCACGCTCGCGCCTCTCTGCCATAGAAATTGACATTCCTGTTGTGACACATGCATCTTAGGAGGACAAAATCTTGGAAGCTGAGTTCTTGTGCTCATTTAAACTGTGAAAATCACAGGCTTGATTCTTTCTGCCTCGCACTGACCATAATCATTTGTAAGGTCAAGTTTCCCAAGGTGCAAAGCAACGGAGACCCGAGTTCAGCAAGTTCATTGTTGTTCTCTTGTGTTACTTCCTGACAGACTTTTTTTTTTTTAACTCTGATCTCACTACAGACAAAATTGCTGCTAATGCTGGGACAGTACACTAACAATAGTATCTGTTCATGCTCCTGCTTACTGAGATCAAAGCAGGGTTGAACCTTGATAAGCTGTTACTAGATTATGATCCTATTGTAAGAGCTACATAGGTGGACCCTTGCATCCATGCATTATGCAAATGCAGGCAGTGGAACTGGGTACAGGGCGTTCTCTGAGTTTCTTGTTCATTTAGACACACGTATTTTAAGATATGATGTCTGAAAAGGGTATTTGGCAGACTGATTCAGTTCTGTAGCACTGTTCTTTGTTTCATACTGCACATACAAAAAGCTACCCACTTACAAACTTCTGTAATAGAATTAGTGGCAAATTACCCTTTATTTTCAAAGTAGCTATTGGAAGAAATAAAACTGATTTAACTAATAATGTTCTTCTGTACTGTAATAGCATTTTGTGAATTACTGGAGGCTAGAAACTGGTTTTTATATTTTATTTCTAGTCTGTTTTTTAATAAGTTAGCAAATTCACTAGATCTTTTTTGTGATTAAAACAAAAACCAATTGTATTTAAAAAAAATTCTGTTTAGAAGCTTGAATATTTTATTTAAAGGCCATCTTAAACATGGATTTTCAAGTAGGCTTTAAAGTGTTATTCAGTTCTGGAGAGAAGTATCACTCACTGCAAAATGGATTAGGAAAACCATGAAGAATTTTGAAGGCTATGAAAGATTCTTTTGGAACACTGTACACACGCTATAACAACATCTCTCTGGGAAGGGGATTATGACCCTGGGAGGGATTTTTAAAACTTTTTTTTTTTTAGTGTATATACAAGTAACAATGGGCTTGTGTATTTTTCAGAGTTGATCTTTATGGTTGCTGGACTTTTCATGCTGTAGCTTATTTAATTACTGACTTAATCTTTTCAGCCTTGTTCTTCAACGCTGTTCAAGGTGAACTGTTTAAAACCCAGTTATTTCCTGTGCTGCCACCTCACAGCTGAACAAAATTTGCCATTCCTATTTTCTGGAAGATGAAGTTTTAAATAACTTGTGAACTTCACCTGTAGCTCTACAGGGATGAGGAAGGATTATCAATTCCCAACCTGGAATGTCTTAAAATAATTTTTTTCCTTCTAAAATGCAGAGCAGGTCAGCCCTGAGGATCAAAGCTTTTCAATATGGGCTTTGAAATTACTTGGAAATTTGATGACACTGAGTTAAAGAGTGTTAATAAGAGACGTATTTTATTTGCTCATATTTTGGCAAATTGAGATCTTGTGTTTAAGATGGCATTCCAGTAAGGAAAATTATTTTGATTGGTGGCATTCTGGAGCTTAGTGGATATTTATATTTCATTAATCCCAGGACAAATTTGCTTTACTTAAAAAGAAACCAACAACAACAAAAAAAAACCAAAACAAAAAAACCCAGCGTTCTTTAATTCTACTTCTGCAAACTTATTTACTTATTTGAAGTCCTGAAAAGCAGTTTGTTTCCTTTTTCATGCATTAGAAATAGGAACAAATGCTGTGCTGGGCAAATCTCACTCTGTTACAATCTGTGCAATAACAGTACGTTAGGAGGAATCATTTTGTCTTTACTGGTAGGCCTTGGACTTCAGTGGGCTGAGTGAGGAAGCTGATCTCTGTCATAAATTCCCAACACAGTCAGTAAAGTGACAGGCTTTTCAGACAGCGCTTGATTAAACTGCAGTCTAAGGATTTAACACTGTAGATGATAAAGGATACTTAAGGAGAGAGGCCTCTAAAGTTACATGAAGCTAATACCCTCTTGGGTTTATGAGGCATGATGTATCTTAAGTATTTTTTTATATATATATTTTTTTTTTAATCAGATGCCTTTATGGGATTGGAGCATGTATAATGACATGCAAGCCAGCTTTTTTTTCTTCAAAATTGAATTTAGCTTTACAGTTACTCTGGTTGTCCAATGATAGATATTGTTTCAGCTGCCCATCTTTAAATGCTTTGTCAGGTCACAGCAAAGGGACCACTGATTTGTGATTTCACGTCAGCTTGCTTCCCCATTGCTCCAGTGTCTTTTCTTCTTTGTGCCTTGCTTAATTTATGAGTTGGCCAGTAAATTTTAGTTTACAGCTAGTATCTGGTGTGCTTTTTGAGCCTGAATTTACAAAGCATTTTGATAATTTTGGAGGGATGGTGAATACATCTCTCGGTGACTTTAAAAGGAGCTGAATCTTCAGTGCAGGAAAGGCAGCCTGGCAAACTGATGTTCTCTACAAAAGAATAAATGCAGCCAGTGTTGTGTTCTGTACACTTTAAATAGCAGATGTCTCTGACAGCTCTTTTGTATTCTGACTTAGATTTTTATGCACCAAACTTTCAATCAGGATTTGCTGCTGCCCAAGCTGATAACTTGTTGCTTTGAAAATTGTGTCTTCTCAAAAATCTGAGATGGATCTGAGTTGTGAGAAGTGGGGATCCAACAGTGGATTCCAGCATACGTTTCACTTATGGTCACCTTAACAAAAAGACTATTGCATCATGTTGTATCACCGAAGCGTGGATGCGTTTCCTTCAGCAGTGTCGTTAATGCGAGTTTCTGCTGGATCCAAAGTGAAATTAACTGGAAGTGCTGTGCTGAATTTCTCCTTTACAGAAGAGGTGGCCAACCTGTGACACCTGAGCTGAGTGCCACTCCAGCGTTTCTCTTGTTAAGGTTATCATCATGCCCAGCGATAGGGCTGGGGAGCAACAGGCGTCCCTGGATTTAAGCAGAAGGACGCACATACCCTGCTTGTGTGGGTGTCTGCTGGGGAACACCGCTGTGGAGTGGTTCGCACCCCTGCCTCTGACTCGCTGCTCCTTCCTTGGCACTTCACTGTGTGCAGGACAGGCACTCTGGGTCTTGAACACAGGAAGAATTTAATTTGTGGCTCATGCAGTCAAAGGTTGGGTTCTCTGGGCTTAAAGGTATCTGTATTTTTTTTCAAGTAATTCCTGTCCAACTTCTTAAGATGTGTTTAATTACAGTGTTGGTTCTTTTTATGTGAAACAAGAGATACGTATTTTTAATAAAACATTCTAATACAGATGCAGTTTATTTTGTTAATTTTGTGGAAAACGGTAACTGCTAGAATACAAAACACTTGACCTGTTCTGATATTGATTGCCACATTGTTTCAGATGCCTTAGCAAGCTTAAAATGTTGAGTATACTGCTTTTTAACTCTTAAATTTAATAGGACTCTGCTTTACACAAAACAAAAAAACCCCAAAACCCAGACCAACCCTTCTGCCACCTTCTGAAAGCTTGACATTTATGATTTCCCTTTATTTTTATTGTAGGCTAGACCTAAGAAGTACTAGGATTCATTTTTTCCTTTAAAAGGAGTGATTTTTGCTTAATCTAGAGAATTCCCTTTCCCCATCTGTGGCCAGGGTGAGGGTTGGGGGCCAAGTTCTGGTTCAGCCCCACAGCAGAGCCACAGTATCAGTGACGTGGAAACGCGTGCAGTCCTTGTGCCCCACCTAAAGCCCTGTCTTTCCATGTCAGTTCTGCCACTTGCTCAGCTGTCACCCAGTGTAACTTGCTAACACAGCTGGAAACTTCCATGCTGGCTTAGTTTTCTCCTAGACTGGTAAGATTTGCATTGTGTTAGTGTCACACCAGAAAGGCAATGGTGACATTAGCCATACTCCTTCCCTCTCCCCTCTGCTGTGCTGTCAGAGAACGTGCTCCTGCCTTACAGGTGAAAGCAGTTTGGGCATCCCAGGGACCTGTGACAGCCCAGAATGATGGCAATGGTTAGTGATGCAATGGTTAGTGATGCTTCCTTTCTGTTCTGTGCTGCTCCAGGCAGCTACGGCTCAGTAGCACTGCGGCAATGCACTGAGCCTTCCCCTTGTTACAGGGCAAATACAAACTCTCAGCGTTAGAAATGCTGATGTCATAGTGCAAATTCAAAAAACAATCTGGATTATTTATGCAGAATATAATGAGGCTTGCTGGTAATTCCTCTAGATTTCTAGTATTCTAGTAAATTGGGTTTTTATCTGTTTGGGGAGGTAGTGTTTATATGAGAACAATTCTTATGGAGTCAGCACATAGAATCACAGAACGTTAGGGATTAAGGGAGTGGAGCATCTCCCTTCTGAGGAAAGGCTGAGGGAGCTGGGGCTCTTTAGCTTGGAGAAGAGGAGACTGAGGGGTGACCTCATTAATGTTTATAAATATATAAAGGGTGAGCGTCATGAGGATGGAACCACTCTTTTCGCAGTGACAACCAATGGTAGGACAAGGGACAACGGGTGTAAGCTGGAACACAGGAGGTTCCACTTAAACTTGAGAAGAAACTTCTTTACAGTGAGGGTGACAGAGCACTGGAACAGGCTGCCCAGGGAGGTTGTGGAGTCTCCTTCTCTGGAGACATTCAAAACCTGCCTGGATGCCTTCCTGTGTGATCTCATTTAGGTGTTCCTGCTCCAGCAGGGGGATTGGACTGGATGATCTTTCAAGGTCCCCAGTATAAAGCAGTTGTTACCAGTACTACAACTCACTTGACAGAGTGGAAAAATGATTTTATATTCTCTGCTTCTGCGGGTTCATTTCTTCCTTTGCTGTCAGTTTCAGACAGGCCTCCTGTCTGTGAGAGCTGGTATAAACCTAGGGACTAGTTGGGTGTTGACATAAATAATGTGACCCAAAGAACATAATTTCTCCCAAATCATGGGAGTGCCTCATTTTATTTTTTTTTTAATTAAAATTTCTAAAAAAACTACCCCACATATTTGTGGTGCTCATTGCAACCAAGTATCTGGACAGATTTTCCTGTTTTATTTCACAGGAATTGAGTTCACTTGTGT